ACAAAAAACAAAAACAAAACAACACATTTTTAAAAAAACGAAAGAGTTTTGATCTCCATACTTAGCATGACAAATAATTATTTTAAGAACAATAACAGAACACAACATCTTCCCTGAAGCCCGAGGCTGACATTCAGTGTGGAGGTTTCGATCCTCATAAATCCACGAGCCATTCACACTCCTAATCTAGCTAAACGCTCCCTAACCTCAGCGCTAAAGTATTTGGGAACCAGAGCGACAGGACTATCACAGTATGAAATATATACTACACATGTCTTATCTAAGCACCCTCCCACTCATATCTCTGGCCTTTAAATTGCTTTGAGAGCTATCAGTTCCAATGACCGTTTTATTGATTCCAGGTTTGAAGATCCTCGTTTGGTCAGTTTAATGGGACTCGACATAGTGCTGTCGCTCAGCTGCGCCAATGTGGCAGGAACTCTTCTCATCAGCATTTATGACCGCATTGTGGCGTGTCATGGAATGGGTGTGCCAAAAACTAAACTAACCTATGCAGCACAAACTTTGGGGAAAATTCTACGTACCATTAGAGTGATGTTTTTACGCAGTAGTTCAGCTGCTTTCTATTGGGTCTTTGTAGGTGAGCTTGATTTGTGGGGCTTTTGTGTGTTATGTGTTTTGTTTTTTGTGTTTTCCTTTTGTTTTATTTTGTTTTGATTTGTATTGTACCAACCAGTCATCTGTATCTTTAAACTAAATACAACAGACATATTTAGATATAATTAATTAATGTTGAAAGAAACTTAATTTAAAGAGGATTGTTGGACAATGCCACAGGTAGATCGTATTATTTTTTCTTTCGTCGTATTCTTCCTGTCGGTCTATCCTGTTTTCCCTCAGCGCGAAATACTTGCTTTTGTATCTGCGTGGTCTTCTTAACTCTAACTAAAAAGTTGTTCCCGCATCCGATCCGGACATTGGGGATTGCCTTGTTAGTGAGACAACGCCCTGGGCCTTCGGCATATTGTGGTAGGGTGGCCAGTTCCTTTCCACGCCGCGTTTACTTCCCCAACTCGAAGTCAGGTACCCATTACTGTTGGGTGGGCAAGAGGGGGCGAAAAAATCCGGGTACGAACCGAGGCTCGAACCTAGACTTTCCGCTCCTCCACCGTGAGCTCAACTCTAACTAAATAACTAAAATCTTAATGACCTCAGTGTGTATATTAAGTATATAAATATATATATATATATATATATATATATATATATATATCTATATATCTATATATATATATATCTATCTATCTATCTATCTATATATAATTAATATATATATACACATTATATTATATATAGATGTATGAGTGTGTGTGTGTGTGTGTGTGTGTGTGTGTGTGTGTGTGTGTGTGTGTGTGTGTGTGTGTGTGTGTGTGTGTGTTTGAAGACAAACCACCTTCCTAAATGGGAACAATGTACGTTTTTCATCAGTCTGCAGCCAAATCGTTCAAGAATTGATGTTTGGTTTTATACTTACGCTCCTTACAAAGCATACTGTATCGATTCATTCTGTAGATAAGGAACTGGTGTACCATGAGTTGTGAAGAAACCACCCCCCTCTCCTGTCTTTTATAACCCCCTCTCCTGCACACCCCATGAGTCAAGAGTGTGACACTAAACACTTGTGAGGATTTGAACTCCGGTCGTCCACACGTTGGTCACGTACATAAGACCACTTACTTACTAAGAAAAGGGTGCTTACCAATAAGTTCAAACAGAGAGACTGATACGTGGTTGTCTCAAGGATTACAGCGCTTGCGTTGACTGGTTGAGTAGACATGAGGGACGATAATCGTATATCACTAAATTCTCGTACCTCTCAGAACGTCATGGTGTCAATCAAAATAGCCAGCATTTGTTTATATAAATGTTCCTTCAAGATTATGACCATCTGACTTTGCGGAGTTTTCCGAGGAGAGAGTGGTTCGACTAATGCAGGATAATGGTAAATGACGGTAACTTTATCCTATTCTTGTATTTCCTTCTAATTTCGAGTTTTACATTTTCGAGTGTTCTCTTTCTCCATAATGGCCATACTCTACCTGTTTTCTCACGGAACTGTTTGAAAGAATCGCTTTGGTAACAATCACTTTAGTAACATTGTGGTGACTGGTGGCATCATGTGCCAGATCTGAGACAGACATCCGCGGCAATCACGATTCCCACCTCACTGCTCGGCTCGCATGCTCTCAAAAAACTTACATCATTATGAACTTGTACTTTCCCCTTTCACCCATTCTTTATTTTTCTTGAAGTTAGGTTTTCTTGGCTTTTCTCTGCCTCCCTTGCCTTCTATTTATTTTTACAGTGAGAGAACGATATCCAAGACCTATGTAAAAGGAGAATTATGGTATTTGTCTCTTCCTAATTGTTTTTTGTTTTGTTATTAATGAACGTCCGTTCCAAGTGATTCTTTCTGCACTACTTAATTTGACTTCTTTTCATTCCATAAAATCCCAAACCGCTTCTGAAACCTCAGATTTCTGCTGCTTCTAGTGTATTTTCATTGCCATTAGAAAATGTACAGCTTTCGTGATTGTATGAAAGAGTTGAGGTCACAGCCTTTTAAACGTCTTCTTTTGACAGTCATGGAGTTGTTTCCACTGTATTTACTTATTGCAGTTATTTGTTTCAATACTGAGGTGCATTTATTGGCTCTAGGTGTTATCATAACATCCCAGATATTTAAATTGTTGGACGAGTTGACCTTCTCATGGTTGCATATAAGATTACAATCAGGATGTTCAGCATTTTTACATGTACATATTATGTATTTTGTTTCTTTAACATTTATTAGAGAAATAACCCTTTACGTTAATTTTCCGCCGGATAATATTTTGTCGTCATTGTTGTTCTTATTGTTTTCGTTCAGTCTTTATTGCTGTGGAGAATATGTTACCACCTTAACATCTGTAAAGGTCACCATGATTGCTTTTTCTCTTCTCAGGAACCAAATGAAAAGGAATCAACTCCTCGTGTGAATGAAACATCATGTCTGAATCGGTAAGTGCGTGCAAGTGGGAAAAATTGTGTATCTTGCAGATGTCTCCCTTAGTCTAGCTGTGATTTTTGTTGTCACCCTTGTATTCCTGACTGTCACAGAGTGATCATTTAGACAGTGGGAAGATGTGTGTGTGTGTGTGTGTGTGTGTGTGTGTG